AATTTTGGAGAAACCAGCTCGAGGTGACCTAGAATTTGAAAATTACACAACGGAAAAAATATGCCACTTCACTTACAGAGCCTCTTCCACAGATGGACATTTTTAAAGGATTTTCCTGTCTCCTCACAGTTTCACACCTACTTTTCAAAATAAACAAGGTAATTTTTTGTACAAAGCACTTCAGGACATTATATCAATTTGCTAATGGGTCTCAGGAATGCACTGTAAGAGCATGTCCTATGTAGTAAAGTAATAACAAAAAAGTAAAATATTCAGAGAAAAATTGCTCATGCTTCTCTAAACCGACATCACAACCTTGTACAAGGAATTACAGCTGTACCTTACCCCAATCAGTATATCATATAAACTTTCCACTCTTATAAACCTTATTTAAGATGCACGAATTACATACAAGATCTATCACTATAATTAATACAGGAAACGAAAAAATACATAAGCTTAAACACCCCTGCGTAAATGTAGTATGTTAAACAAAAGAGATGACCGCAGAATCAAACTACATTGTGCACATTTGGCCGTTACATTTAAGAGATACACGAGAAGATATGCCATTACTGCCCAATGAGCAGCTGGATATGGTAAGGGACCTCAGACGACTTCAATTTAAAACAGGGGCTTATAGCGCCGACAAGTAGCCATCAGTTGAGGCTTGATGAATACGATTATAAAATATACCAATAATAATCCATCATACAAACAGTTCCTGAATAAGCCGCACAAGGCATACTATCAAATTTTATTACTAACACACGAATGTAATATAAGCGATGATTAGATATATTCCGAATACTGTCGAGTTATTAGAAGATAAGGTTCTAGACCTTAGTGTATGTCTGCTTTTACGATTAGGAAACGAAAACATCATATATTTATATTTCTACCTATCTGAGCGTTAGGACGTGATATTACAGTACCATCTGCTAACGCCTAAAGGGCTAACGCTGCATAGCAGTAAGAAAGAGAAAGGTCTTGAACCAATGATGCTCTAAAGAATCCAGCTAGAGCTCAGAAACGCGAGAGCGTATATCAGACCGAACGCACGCTAGACGTACCAGGATGGCAGAATAGCTAAAAAATACCAGCGAAACAGATGAACAGTGTAACTCCGATGCGTATAGGTGGATGTTTTGACAGTGAATGGAGAAAAAGCACCACACCTTTACAACGGTTAAATCTCGCTTGTCTTTATTAGTAAAATATCTCTATTTACATTTTAATTACCCAAACAAGTTTTTTTTCCTTTTATTGTTATTGCTTGAACACACCACATATTAACAAAAATGGCAATATATGGCATAGCACCTCAGCACGACACTGAAGAGTGTAGCTTTACGCACCCTGCCTAGGCCTCAATAACAATGCGTCCTGAGGAGGATATAATACCATATGATTAATTGCGAACACTAGATATTTCCCAATAGGAATTATTACAATGTTCCACGATGTACAGGAGATATCATGCAGGAGGAACCCTTGTACATCCCTTTGGTCATAAGTCACGACCCGGAACTATCTGAATCACCATGTAGTGCTCACGAGATTTCAGTATATTTGTTGTGTGAGTAATAAGCTATATGTTATTTTGTCATCTCTCATCAAATACGAGTTTCTCACTTGTAGAGAGAGAGAGAGAGTAGAGTACATTTGCCTCCGAGTCCTGCATGGACTGTATTTTAACATTGGTCATATGGTGGTACTTGGAGAGCCAACTATTTTCTCTGGTGGTACTTGGTGTAAAAAGGTTGAGAACCACTGGTCTAGAGTGATTTGTTCCTCCTTTTTTGTTGTTGTTTGAATCTAGTGGAGGATTTCTTGCTGCGTGTTCGTATTATAACCCAACTTAATATAAATTCAGTTTTGTTTCAACACATTTTTGTGCCTTTTCTTACATTTAAAGTGAATTGAAATGCCTATAAATGACATGAATGAGATGCTGCTCAAAGGAGACTGGTTTTCTCAGCTTGTCCATGAAGTGATGTTGCTGTAAATGATATGTGCTAAGTATATCCAATGATAAAAAGACAACACATTCAGACTTCCTACCTGCAGGTGAGGCTGTCTCAGGAGAAGGTAAAGCTCTTTGGCCTCTTCAGAGCAGCCCGGCAACGATCTGATGTCAATCAGCAACTACACGAAGCAAAGTCAGACATTTATAATGAAAGACTTCCACCAGATGAATGTGAGTTGGTAATACATAAAAGAAGAGTAACCTGGAGTGAGAGTCCTGAAGCGTAGTCCAGAGCCGGAGCTGGGGAATCACTCAGGAACGTTTGGAGACACTCGTAAACCTGAAAACAATGTTAAAATGATGATAAAGAAATAACATTTCAAGTTTCAAATGTATTATGAAACACCTGGAGGCTTTTATGTTTGTATCTAAGCAACATTTCCCTCAACCTGTGTTTGACATGCCGTTAAATGATTGGTTTCCTACATCGAGAGTTATTTGTGTTCACATCCCATCCTAGGACAATCTATTGAAGGTCAAATGAAAGTAGAATTTGTTCCCAACGTTGTATTTGACAAAAAGGAAACAGTTTGTGATATTAAGGATTAGATGTTTTACATTTCACAGCCATCAAACACCTGTGGCCAACATATCTTTATTTTCATCCATGGTTATATTTTATTGAGACGAGATTGTCTCCCTGCTTGTGTCCTCTTATGTCAAATTAACCATATCTATTCAAGTCATGTTAATTGTGCATCTGTATTGCCTGTGGAGGTAATAATAACACATATGAGAGAGTAACTGACTAATCACTAATAATAAATACTATAATATTCAAGTGGTGATAATATTTCAGCTAAATAATGAAGTGGATGTTCAGAGTGTTTTCAGACCTTGATCAGTGAGAGCAGCCAGGGGGCTTTCAGACTGTGGAGGATCTCCGCTCCATCGATGTCCTGATTCACAGACTTCCTCACCTCCTCGATCACATCCGTCAGGATCTGACGCAGGCCTGCCACACACACACACACACACACACACACACACACACACACACACACACACACACACACACACACACACACACACACACACACACACACACACACACACACAGTGAACAACCACACACACACACACACACACACACACACACACACACACACACAGTATTATAAATAGACAGAAAGCTATGGCGGTATATTAAATGTCCCAGATATACTGACCGTGTTCTCCTAGCTCACAGTGGGGGTTTAACACCTGAGCCTCCACAGCCTGCCTCATGGTCACTGGACCCCCGACCTTTGACCCACAACCACCTGCTGCCTGCTTACGAGGACCAGAAAGACCTGGGAAAGTGAAGGCAACACAACAACTAGTATTAGACGGGTGCTGAATACAAACAGATGCTTCATTCTTAAAGGGGAACATTTTCCACCTTTTTATCGGGATATCCAATCACAGAGAAGGTGTTATCTTGATGTGAATAAAAAACAGAACTTGATTAGAATAAGGATATATTGCTTTAATCACCTTTATTTTCCTCTACCACTTAAGGTTGCTTTATTTATTACTTTTCTTATTTGTGCTTCTCGGTGCCAATCAAATCAGGTCAAAAAGGGGTCCCGGAAAAGGTCAAATCCCCCAACCACACCCCCCCCTTCCCCTTTTTACCCACCAATGGGGGTTTTTGTCACCCCTTGGGGTCCCCCCAAACCTGGACCCCCTTTAACAAAAAGGGAAAGTTCCCACTCCCTTCCTTTGGTAATAAAAAAAAAAATTTAATAAATAATCTCTTCTCCCCCGTTCTTTTAAAATGGGTCGTCTTTTTTTTTTTTTTTTTTCCCAAGTCCAAAAAAAGCCCCCGAAAAGGGGTTAATTTTCGACCTTTTTTTTTTTTTGGGGTAAATTCCTTTTTAAACAAATTTTTTAATTTTTTCAATTTTTGTTTTTTTTGTCTTAAAAAAAAAACCTCCCCCCCAAAAAGGACCCCCCCACTTCCCCCCTTTCCCTTTTTTTAAGTTTTGGGGGGTTTTTTTTTCGAAAACTCACAAATTCGTAAAACGTTAAGAAGGCCTCAAAGAAAACAACAAAGGTCCCGCCCGCGGCGCTTTACCCTCCCTTTTTCCCCCCCCTAAAAAAACAAAAAAACCATAAAAAGGGGGCAACCCCCCCCCTTAAATTCCTTAATGGGTTAAGGTTCCCCCCTTTTTCCCCTAAATGGGGGGCTGCGGCGCCTTTGGTTCACTTCACTTCGATTTTTTTTTTCTTAATTGAAATTTTAGACGGGGACCAAGAAATGAAAGAGGGGGGTAAATTTTTTTTTTTTGAAAGGGGTTTTTTTTTTTTTTTCCGACAACAAGTTTTTTCAAAAACCCCGGGGTCCTTAAAATAAATTCCGTTTTCCCCCCCCCCCCCCTAGAAAAAAAGGTAAATTTTGGGGTCCCCTGAATTTTTTCCCCCCCCCCGAAAAAAAAAAGGGGAAAATTTTGCCAAAGTTTTTTTGGAAGGAAAAAAATTTTTTTTTAAAATGGGTGTAGAAAAAGAATTTGGAAAAAGCCCTGGGAAAAGCCCCTTTCCCCCTTTTTTTGACCTTTCCGTCCCCCCCCCCTGGGAAAAAGTACCCACCAAAGGTTTGGAGCCCTAAAGGACGGGGAGGAAAAGAAGACCCAAGTCCCCAGGGGGGAGGGGGGGAAAGGAAAAAAAACCTCTCTCCGGCCTCCCGACCCCCTTTTCGAACTTTTCTCAAATTCCTTTTCTTCTTTTACAAAACCCCGTCCCCCCCCCCCCGTTTTTTCTTTTTTTTGGGGGGTTTTTTTCCGGGTTTGTTTCGGGCCCAAAAACCCATCCCCCCCTTATTTCTGGGGAAAAAACCCCCCCCAAAAGGCACCCCCCGTTCCCTTCCCCCCCCGTCCCAAGGCCCGAAAAGGTTGAACGGGCCCTAAAAAAATTTTCCCAAACACCCCCCCTAAAAGCACGCTCCCCCCCTCCCCCCTAATGGGGGGTCCGGGGACGGAGAGAGCACCCCGGAAGGAGCAGAAGGGGGGGACCGCCGAGGGTAACCTCCTTTTCCCCAAAACCATCCCCAGGGGTCAAGAAGCCCCCCCCCCCCTCTTACGTAAAAGGCGTTGCCCGTAAAAATTTATGACATACTGGTCTTACAAAGACGGGTGGGACTTTTTTAGCCGAAAGAATATTTTTTTTGAAAAAAACCGGTCCACCCCCCTTTTCCCCCCCTATTTTTTTTTTTTTTTCCCCGAAACCCGTAAGGACCTTCCTTTCACGTTCCCCCTTGTTTTTTTTTTCCCAATTCCCTAAATAAAAAAACCTCCCGAGTATTGTTTTCCCTTTTTTTTTTTGTTGGGAGCCCCCTTTCCCCAGCTGGAGGTGAACAAAATCAAAAAACAAGAATGTTCCCCCCTTAGGGAAAAATTTGGGGGGGGGTCTGTTTTTTCCCCCGACACACAACCCTTTATTGTTAAAACCCAACACAAGAATTTGTTTCTAAATCCCCATTATGTTTTTTACCCCTTGAAAAAAACCCTTCCCCCCCAACCCAGTTTAACTTTTTTTTTTTTGTTTACCAGGGTTTTGGATTTTTGGAAAAAAAAGGATGAACCCAATTTTTTTTTGTCCCCCCCCAAAATATTAACTTAAATGAATCCAACCCAAGTCCCCCCCCGAAGAGGGAAAGGAACAAAACCTTAACCCCAAAGAAGGTTTCGGTTTTTTTCTCCTAAAATTTTTTTCCCCAGGGGGCGGGTTGGTAAAGAGGCATAGAATGGGGGGTAAACCCCCAACCCCCCCGAAGTTATTAATCGCCCTTCCCCGAAACCGGGCCAACCCTTCGCAAACGGTAATTCCCCGGGGGGACCTTTGGGGGGGGGGGGGGTTGGGGGGTGTTGAAGAACCCTAACCCCCTTTCCAAAAAACCCGCACCCCCCCGAAAAGAAAAGGTTTGCGGGACTAAGGGAAGAAACGAACCCTTAAAAAATTTTTTTGTTAAAAAAAAGGTTTTTTCCCCCCCCCCCCCCTCCCGCCTTTGAAAAAATTTTTTTTTTTTTTTTGGTTTTTGACATGGAAAAAAAAAACGGTTTTAACAAGTTTTTTGGAAATGAGCGAACCAAACTAATTTTTATTTATTTTTCTTTGTTTTATCCCCCCCCTAGGGAAAATTTCTTTTCTTTGGAACGTGGCGGGGGAAAGAACCCATTTTCCTTTCCCCCCCCCCCATTTTTCACAGGGGTCCCAAAAGGAAAAAAAACCCCTTGGGGAAAAAAAAAGAAATATAGAATACAATAGGAGTTAAAAATGCGGTCCCAGGGAAAAATTAATTAAGAATTTTAACGAAACACAGAACCCGATAAACAACTGTGGGATAAAAATAAAACCGGGAATTCCCCTCCCTGGTTTAATTTTCCAAATTAAATAAGAATAAAATAAACTGACCGTGTTCTTTATGTAACTCCGTCCCTTGGTAGTAAACTATTATACAACTAACCGTGGCTCTTCGTGTTTATTCCTTTTCATTATTTATTTCGTTGGAATTCACCATCTCCCTTTTAATTTCCACTTAATTTT